GCACGACAGGCTGGGAGGCGCTGAAGATGCTGCACAAGCGGTTTATATGACCTTGAACCAGGATAACTTCTTCTTGACAGTGCTGCAGCCGAGGACTAGTTTAGACCGACTTTTACGAAGACATGGCCCCTACTAGCACGTGCTGAGACGTCCTGCAATTCGTTCAGGCCGGCAGATCACAGGGCCTTGTTTTGATGACCCTCCCTGCCAAAGTCTTGAGAAGGTCTGGTTCCAGGTATCCGACTGCTCAATCTCTCATCGTCCCGCAGCACCTCGAGGTGAAGGTCTGCCGACACGTTGCGGCTGACAAGGGGTGTGCCAGAATAGCAAAGTTTAGAATCTCTAAACTCATGGTCAGCACGAAAAGCCAGCAGGCACGTTCTAATGCGAGTAGGAAGCGAAGATTCAGATCCAGACGCAATTCGATCTCCTGCCTGCGACTCAACCCAGCATTGAAATGATGCAGTGCAAACATTCTCTGCAGAACGCACCTCGTAGGCCGGCACCGTGAGCCCCTGCCTCCCGCGAATGACTCGCCGACAGGCTGCAGCGCTGCTACGCTCACATGAGCAAGACACTCATTCATCCTCTCAAAGATGGCGAAAGCAAGCGAACTCCCGTTGTCCTGTGCCTGGGACAGGTCCCGCTGACGGGGCACGTCGCTTTTGCAACTCTGGGCCAATGGACTCGGCTCAACTCGCTGGTGAAAGGTCGCTGGATATGTGTTTGCGATGCTTCAAAACGTCCCCATGCGCCGCAATTGGCTTCCACATGCTAGGGAACCTTTGGTGCAGATTCGTGATAGCTGGCTTCAGGCTTGCGAGTGCTTGTGCAGGACTGCTAAACAAGGCCTTCACATCGATGCCATACATCTCTTGATGAAAGCCCGGGCTACACAAAAGAGCAAGCTCCATCCGATGCCGAGCTCGCAGCTTTGTGTTGTGGTGCGTTTTGATCTCTATCTGCATCTCGACAAGCTTTTGTGCAGTACTTTCCCTCACAGCCCAAATACGCATTTCCTCAGCTCGCAAGGTTCGACTCTGTGTTTCGGCGATGCCTATAGGAAATCCGATCTGAAACGATTGAAGTCTTTCATTCTGCTTTCGGATTCTTTCCTTCCTCCGGCTATCCCACCCTCTATAGCCTTACTACATAGGGCGGAATCAAGATCGTCTGCTGAAGCGACAAGTCCTCACAACCTGTAGAATAGTTGGAGGAGCCTAGACCTAGACTCGAGCTCCAAACATCCATACATCATCTCGGCGTCCATTGCAGTTCACGCGTCGACACTTCGGCCCATTCGACGTTCCCTGGCAGCGTGGACTGCTTCAATGAGTTCCTACGCTTTGCACGGTCTAGCCTCATCTGTGCATGGGTCAGCCGCCAGCCAGGCGACAGATCAGGCTGAAATCTCGAAGCATGCAGACGGGCCTGGTTTGCGTGCATTCGGCCGCCAGGCCCGAAACTTCCTTAGATTAATGTCTGACTGAATGGCGTACACAGCAGATGGTAACAGGCCATGAAAGGAAAACACGGTTGCTCTTCGCAAACTGTCGCAGGTCTCCAGCGAGCAGCCCCTGTCAGCCATGGACCCACGTCGTCTTTCGGGTTCGCCAGGAGGACAGGAGCTCGGGCGGATCGCAGCCGCCCGAGTGCGAGAGCCTGCAGATGGCTGATCAGGACACTTTTCGAAACACTTCGATACTTTTGGAGCTATACAATCCGGCATCGGTACAGCTGTGAGCATGCAACTGACGATCACAGGATGTCTGTCGTGCCGGAGCTTGAAACTGAGCTCATTAAGCCCGGGCAGCCACATCCGTGTTGATCGGCTACGTGCACCGCGCCACTGTGAACCGGAACGCTCAACTCTTGTCGGCCAAGCTGGGATCCTGCAGCACCCGCTCGGACTGTCAGTTCTCGCATAGACGGTGGGCAAATACATGCATTGCAGAAAACAACGGCAAAAAAATACAGCATACTTACAGCAGCCAGAAATCCGTAAGCATCGAGGTGAACGCCATAAGCACTGCTACTGACAGACCGTCTCCTGCTAGCCCCGCTGCGATGGAGGGCTTCTACAATCCCATCGCGAGCCCGCTGCACAACTTCCTGCCACTTCGTCGAGGTCCAGCCGTTTCTGTAGTTGATATTGCTCTCCAACCATGCTGCCCAAGTTCCATTTCTATCATTGCGGATGTAATCTCGTTGGAGCATTAGCAGTGCCCCTAGCCAATTCTTTCCGTTGCCATTGCAGTCGTCTGACCAGAAATCATCCCTGCCAGCTGTGCTGCTGTGCTCCAACCTTCCCGCCGGTCGAAGAAGCGATTCCGCAAGGAACGGAAGCGGCTGAACACACACGCAAGAGTGCAGATGAAACTGGCCAAGCCGCAGAAATGCGTCCTTCGTTTTCTTGAGCATCTCTGCCTCGGAAAATGGGACTCAACAGCCTGCCGCCGGAGAAGGGGAGTGGAATGCAGCTACGAGAGCAGCAAACAAATGCAAAGAATAATATCAGAGCTACAAACAAACAGTGCAAGGACAGCATCCACTTTGGAGGCAGCGAATGGCTGCTCGCACCTAGAAGTTCTCGAAACAAAGCCTTTTGGTAGATTTGGTCGCGGGCAAACGACACAGGACGATGCATGCCCTTACAGTACTCACAGTATTTACTAGCATCGACATGCTTGCTTTCCTTCGTAAGGGAAGACTGGTCAGACCACAATCGCATCATGCTCAGACAAGCCACCAGTCGTGTGCCAGGGAAGAACTTCTGCTGCACAATTTCTCGCATAGCTGCCAGCCTCTCTTGTACCTGCTACCGATGCAACAGCAAAAGGCGATCGATCGAGGGCAGGGTTTGGTCTGCTGGGTCTATTGAGAAGCGCTGAGCCCTCCAAACAATCGCGAGCAAGCGAGATACTTTGCATGTGCCACAGCAACTGGCCTGCGGGAACATCGAACCATAGCCGCGTTGCAAGAGGTCACGGCTCTTCCTATACGCCTGCTCTCCGGATAATCCCTCGAACTCCTCTGCACATTTTCGGACAAACATTACTGCTTGCACTGTAGCAATACATACTCGACAGCAGCACATCACAACCCAGCATGTGAAATGTAGAGTTCTGGCGAGGGAGTTGGGATTTCTCTGAGGCTGCACATGCATGTGCTTCAGGTTCCTTTCTGCAAGACGTCCCTGCAGTACCGGTCCTCGGCCTGGCTCCGGAACTTTGAAGCTTGGTAGGCAGCCTCAGCAGTTCTGAAATCGATCCATCGGCGACCGTTCGCCTCAGCTGCGCAGATGCAAGTGCACACCGGCATGGGCATCGAACGCTGGTTGGGCTAAAGCCATGGTGACAAAGCCGCAATACAAACAGCCAAAGCTTCTGACTCGCCAAGCGCGGCAAGATATGCCATTGGCACTTAGAACTGCGCAGTCATGGCCACATGAGATTGCATTCAGTGATCCTGGTTCTAGCAGAACGACTTCAGTTGGTACTCATACATAACAATGTCAGCAATCATTAGATTCGCTTAGTTGTTCTGGCTGACGTGCCATGGCCTTGCCGGCTTTTGGCCGGTCTTTGCAGTCAGCAACGGCCCTTGCGCAGTGATCCTGCTTCCGAATCTGCTGCTGAGTGCTTCGAAGCACATAAAGCCGCGATTTCGCTGTCGCTGAAAACGGCCGACGACAAGTGCAATCGAGCGAAGCACTAGTCTCAGGAAGGGCATGCACCGACCACATCGAAAAGCGTCGATTCTTGCGAGACAAGCCTCCATTCTGAAGCCAGCACGATCTTCGTAGAAGTTGCCCAGAAACTCTGCTCGACAAAGCTCATCACCTTCTTGATGCGAAATGTTGACTCACACAGACGGATATTCGTTTCAGCTATGCTGATGGCCGTGGGGTTGATCGGGCACGTGGACCGAGCTGCATGGAGCCAAATCGCCGGGGTAGTAGAAGGCCACCAAACTGTCATCGACATCTACAAGTTGACAGAAGTCCATGAACAGCGCTGGAGGACACATCTCGAGACTCGCAGGCCTGTGGCAACCAAACCGCTCCAGCTCAATTCCGGGGCTGAAGGGCACGGGTCTGGGCGAAGACATGGCGCATGTCGTGGCCATCGATATGGCACGGAGGCAATCGAGGCTGGAGCCAGGAAAAGAACGGAGCAGGCATTTTGAGTTGATCCTGGCATCCAGCATGTATGATTGCCGTCTATTCTATCTCTGGTACTCCCTCTCGCTCTCCCTCTCCCACTCTGTTTGAGTGGCCCCCTTTCTCGCGTCGTCCCACTCACAGACGCGCTCACTGAAGGCCATGCTGCTGGAGAATCTCGCAATGCAACGGTGGCGTCGGAGGCCGGACAGCTTGCACGAAGCACTTGCAGGGCAGACATGTACGAGTGGATCTGCCAGCTTTGCGAACGAGCCTGGTGGTGACAACAAGTGTAGCAACAGAGGTTTGTGAGTGGTGACTGGCAGTGACTGGCACCTGCTGCTCCGCGAAACGAGGGACACAAACGGCGATGTACCCGCTGACAGACTACTGAGACTCCGAACCACGCTACTGCCACACACGGTGAGTGTTCAATCTCGTCAGCGAGCCTCTGGAAGATATGCCGACTTATCATACTTGTCCACATGTCTCGAATGTCGTTGGCCTGCTGACACCAAAGTGGAAGTTTGCAGCACTCACACCCTTCGTTCATGCATTTGAAGACAACATCTGACAATGAAGCTTCTGCCCCTCCCACGTTGTGTACAGGCAGGGACCGGTTCTGGCCAAACAAAGGCATGCATGCTTTTCACCTTGCACCACATGGTCACCATGATTGGGGCAACTGACCTCGGGCATGCCAAAGTCCCGCCGAGGTTACAGGTTTGTGTAGCGGGGCAGTTGATGGCAGAATCGCAAAAAACTGCCCCGCTGCCCCCAATCACGTCTCTCCGGCTAGACTTCAGCGTCATTGCACAAGCAAGTGGCAGGCGCGGCA